CAGGTGGAGAACTTCACCAGGGGCGCCACGGCTGTCTCTGAGCAGTGACACTTATTTTCTTCATCGTTATGCATTTCTGAATTCTTCATAATGAAAATGTCTATCTTTTGTAATTAAAAAAATAGATGTTACTGTTTGTTTTTATTTTTTTATAGCTTTATTGAAGTATAATTGATGTGCAATAAACTGTGTAATTTGAAGCGTGTGAACTGATGAGTTTTGACATCTGTACACACCCGTGAAACCATCGTGACAATCAGATAACAGACATTTCCATTACTCCCAATAGGTGTTTTTTTTTTTTTTCCATCTAAAACACTAAAATGGGACAGGGATTATTGGTGATGTCTCCCCTCAATTTTCTTCATTTTCTGAGATGTGGTCACATGGCTCTATAATTACACACACACACACACACACACACACACACACACACAGACACACCCACCCCCCGCCTCAGCAGCAGCCCTTAGTCATCCATAAGTGCAGACCAAGGTTCCAGCAAACACCTCCCTAAGGCTGCCCTTTTGGCTGGAAGGGGAGGAGGAGAGGCTGGGACCCAACAGCGCCCTCTTCTGGAGAGAACAGAACTTTCCATGTCTCAAAACCCTGGGGATGGAAACAATCCAAGCGTCCATCAACAGATGAATGGATAAACAGAAAGTAGTACATCTATACGATAAATATTATTATAGCAATACAGACACATGCTACAACATGGAAGAACCTTGAAAATATAGTGCTAAGTGAAAGAAGCCATTCATAAAAGGTCATGTATTGTATGATTCCCTTCACATGAAATGTCCAGAATAGACAAATCTATAGAATTGATCTCGTAGGGGTATGAGAGGAATCAGGAGTGATCGCTAATGGTCACTGAGTTCCTTTTAAAATTTTTTCTAGAACTAGAGAGTGGTGGTTGCAAAACCTTGTGAATGTACTAAAAACCATTAAATTGTATGTTCGAAATGGGTAAATTGTATGATATGTGAATTATATCTCAATAAAACTGTTATATTAAAAACAAAAATCCTTGAGAATAAATTAAGCAGCATCTCATCTTGCTCACTGACCTCTAAGGATGAGCATTTTTCTAGCATCTCCTCAACCCTCCCACTAGCCCAGGAATTTGCCTCCACCTCACAGATGAAGAAATGTTCCTAGGTCACCCAGCCCTTCAGCTGCAGGCAGGCTTGAGATCCAGTTTTCCAGCTCCAGAGCCTCATTCCAAAGTCAGAAGGTCTCACTATCATGAAACAAGTAAGAGAGTGACTGATTCTTTAAATGCCCGTTTGTTCAGTATAAAATGGACTGACCACCCCTGCCCTCCTTGAGGGCTTTCCAAGCAAGGCTGCCACCTACAGTTGGGCAAGATGTGAACTGCACTAGGGCACATGTCACAGGGGGACACCATTCCCAGCATAGGTCTGGCAAATAGGAATCCTGGCGGTGACAGCAATTATAAAAGGTGTCTTGCGCTTACAAAATCAGTTTATAACAGTTTTCTAACAGGTGGACATCAAATGCCTTAAACAACAAGTACTTTTTTAAAAATCGAGGCGAAATTCACATAACATAAAATTAACCATTTCAAAGTGAACAATTCAGAGGCATGTAGGAAATTCACAACGTTGTGCAACCATAACTTGTATCTAGTTCAAAAATATTTTCATTGTCCCAAAAGGAAACTCCTCACCCACTAAGCAGTGCTCCCTATTTCCCCCTCTCACCAGCCCCTGGCAACCACCAATCTACTTTCTGTCTCTATGAATTTACCTATTCTGTGTATTTCACATAAATGGCATCTTACAAGATGTGGTTCTTTGTGACTGGCTTCTTTCACTTGGCATGTTTTCAAGATTCATCATGTTGTAGCATGTATCAGTACTTTGTCCCTTTTTAAGGCTGAATAATATTATTATATTATATGGATAGACCACATTCATCAGTTGGTAGATGTTTTACTGGTATGAATAATGCTGCTCTGAACATGTGTGCCAGCCCCCAAACTAGAGTGACCATTTTCAAGTCTTTGGGGGAATATACTTAGGAATGGCACTTCTGGGTCATATGGCAATTCTATTATTTAACTTTTTGAGGAATTGCATGAGTGCCCTTTTCTAATTCGTGCAAAGGCACCGTATGGGTGGGCACAGTGGCACTGACAGTTGCACATCCAACTCTCAGGGCTCATATCCACCCAGCCTTCACCCGCTGCCCAGCCCAGGGCTAGAGGCTCCATAGATGTGACTTCCTTCCACCCTCACATCCATCACCTGGGCAAGAGGCAGGGGAAGGGGCTCAAAGAAGAGCAGTGACCACCTCTCCTCCTGTTCACACAGCAATAGTGAGCGGCTCAGACTTGAGCCCAGCCTGCCTGAGTCCCAAAGCTCTGCTCCTGACCATCGCATCATCAGGAGGGATTGTTCGATGTGGCATTATAAAGATGGCAGGTTATTCTGTCTGAAGACTGACCTGAGGCCAACTCAAAAGCCTGGGCCTTGTCTTGTTCCTTCCCTGTCTGGATCCTCATCCCCACCCGCTTTGGGAGGGGTCCTTGCAAGTAGGATGTGGCCAGATGACTCCCATCTGTCATCTGTCATCCACCATCCATCATCTGTCAGCCCCAGGGAGCTTCAGGCAAGATCAGAAAACTGGGGCAATCAATATAGCTGTTCTTTAGTCCTGCTTGCTTCTGCTGTGCTAGACAGTTCCTGGCTGGGCACCTCCTGCAGGCCACCAGCCCCCAAACTAGAGTGGGGAATAGGGATCTCTGTGGGACTTTCTTGGCTCTGGGCTCTGAATGAGTGAGGGTGTGGGCCTTTCCACCCAGGCCCCCCTTGGCTATAACTCCACCCACTTTCTGCAGAATCAATTATTGATGAGGCCCCTCCAGTCGGGGAATCCCAGCAGAGTGTCCTGGCTAACTTCCAGACTTCACAGAGAATGGAGGACCCAGGGTAAGATGAGCTTGTTCCTGAGGGCATGGCCAGTGAGAGGGTCCAGGCAATGGCTTCCAGTGGTCGGAGGCCCAGAACGTTCTCAGGCGGCGGGGGGTGGGGGGTGGGGTGGTCACTTACCTGTAGGGACAAGGGAGCCCTGGGACTGCTTTGCTTCCCAGAGGACTGAGTGGGGAGCAAGCCAAGTGAAGGGCCTGCACACCAGACAGACAGCTCCCATAGTCGCCTAGGACGCAGGCTCAGACAGGTGGCTGGTGGCCCTGAGTGCTGGGGAGGCATCTGGATGGGGGTGGAGGCAGGAAAGGATCTGCTTCTCCTGGAAGGAGGTTGTGTGACAGCCACAGCTTCTGTCTGCTGATCAACTTCCCTCGGGGGAAGGCCTGACATATGGGAGATGACATTGGGAGGCTCTACGACAGATGGCAGAGGAGCCTGGGAGCTGCTGGGTGTCGTCGTCTCAGGGAAGCGGCCAAAGCCTTGGGATTCTTGGGTGGCGGTGTGCCCAGGGCCCCCCAGTCTCCACGAGCCCTTCCCCCTCAGGAGAGAAGGCCCTTCTCTGAGCCATGCACCGCTGCTTCTGAAAGCTCCCTGACCCCACACCTTCTCTCATTCCACCCCGGGCCCCCTCAGTCAGGTTGCTGTGTCCCCTCTGCAGTGCCCCACGGCCTGGAACTCCTCGTTCGTCTCACAGGGCCTCCTCCTGGTTCACGAGTGTGAACCAGGTGAGTATGCCAGGATGGCCAGTGAGGGGCTTCGAACGCCAGGGCAACAGCTGGGCTCAGAGAGCAGAGAAGGCGTGGGAAAGGAGCCAGGGAAAATGGGGCAGCGGGACAAAATTTCTCTGAAGTGCTTGCATGTGGTCCTGGGTCCCCACTCCAGAAATTTATAGCCCAGTTTTGAGGTGTTTGAAGGGAATATCTTTGTTGACTCATCAGATCAGTGGAACCACTGAAGTGGCGATTCTGATGGAGGACACACCGTATTAACGGGCGGGAAGCGACTGAGCACACGCAGCTGCAACATGAGGACAGTTTAATAAAAGGCCGTTGAGAGGGTGGGCGCACGTGAAACAGTGTGGTCCTAGCTCAGGAGCTTGTAACGATTGCCCTCAATTCTGGGGCCTGAAGAGGTGAGGGCAGGGAGCTGTGGAGATCGCCAGGCTCTCCCGTCCTGTGACACTTTTATGTGCTGCTAACCCTGTCCTCGTGCACCCCCGATGAGGCCTGCCCACCGAGACTGAATGTAGTGGCTCAAACTGCAGCCACAGTCCACAGAAGGACGGCGAGGCCTTTTCGGGGAATCCGGAGGGCACCAAGCTGTAACTACAAGGAGGGTCACCGAGCACCTACAGTAAAAGCTAAGAGCTGACGCAAATTACATGTCCCAATGGACTCTGGTCCATTCACACGGGAGGAAAACTGGCAGCTGCTCCGGGAGCGCACGAGCTCGGTGTGGTGTGTGGGGAGGGCTGCAGTGGGGGATCAAGGACGTGGGCCACCGGGCAATAGCGTGTGGAGAGGTCATTCTGGTTAAACAACAAACGAGCGGACACACAGGAACAGTCCGGAAGGAATCCTACCAGCTGTGAACAACGCTTAACTCCAGGAGTGCCACCTGCTGGAGGAGGACCCTGACGCTGTGTGCCAAACGTTACGCTGTCTTTTTGTTTTACGATAAGCATACAATTCCTTTCAGAGTGACTTATACAAAGAAGTATTTTATATCTATATAAAAAGAGAGCTAAAGATATGAAGGGGGAGTGAACAGAAAAGGGTGCCAGGGTTCTTCCCCGCTGAGGTCTGGCCGTCACTGTGAACTGCAGCGTGCCGGGCGCCGTCCAGGGCGCGTGGTGATGGCACCGACCAGAATGGCTGCCTGCAAAATGCTTACCACCTGCGAGAAGCAGGTGGGAGGTGTCCAGATGTGCCTGCCTGCCTATGGCATGAGGTGGGCAGGGATGAGAGGGCACACAGCCGGGGCTGCGGGAGTGTGGGGTGGGTAGGGGGGGCAGCGAATAGCTCCCATGGAGGAGCCACACGAGGGCATGGAGGGCGAGGGACACTCTGGGGGAAGCTGGGAAGGGGGCCTGAGCTGCGTCTGCCTGTCTGGGTGTGTGGGATGGGTGGTGGGCACAGGAGCACGCTGGACTGGAGGCCCTCCGAGGTCCTCCAGAGACATGGGGACACTATCACAAAAGCCCTGAGAGGCATGGGCTCAGCGCTTCCTCATTCCAGGGCCCTTCCTGTGCAGGTGATGGGAGAGGGGGCGGGGGCAACGGTGGGCAGTAGTCCGGCAGATTCTAGGGGACGGCTGCCGGTGGTGGAGCACAGCAGTGCCACGCGCACAGGATGTAGCTGCGAGTTACCCCAGGGGCAGCGGGCAGTCTTATTCCCTCGGCCTAGCTGGAGGAACTCATTGTCCAGGTGGGCCAGAGGGGCGCGAGTGGCCTGTTCTGCTGGTTCTTGCTCACTGACCGCAGGGCAGGACCCGGGGGTTGGGGAGGAGCCAGAGACGGCCCCTTGGAGAGACCTCCTCATGCTTCCTCCTCCAGAGAGGCAGGGCCACCCGGGGACCCCACGAGACTGTGGCAGAGGGACAGCAGACAGGGAAGCCCAGAACTACAAGTCCTACCGCAAACATAAAAGTCCCAGGCAGGGATGTGCCCCCTCACGTGCTGACTCTGACAGATCCTGCTTGCCTGGACCGCTGAGATGAGGATCCGGAGGCCAACCCAGGAAAGCTTGGGAGAGTGCCTGGGCGGACTGCTGACGTGTACTGAGGGCGAGGGATACGGACCGTGGGCACGAGTGTCCTGTGTCTGCAGCCCTGAGGCCTTTCAAGGCCGGGAGGACTGTCTGGTGACTCTGTAGGTGAGACTGGCCTTCCAGATGATCACCACAGTGCCCCCACCAGCTGGGCAGTGTGGGGCCCCCAGGCAGCCAGTGAGGGCCTTTCCTGGCTCCTGATCCACTAAAGAGAAGTCGCTGAGTGCTGGGGCTCCGCATGGTGGGCAGACAGATATGTTGCAGGGCCCGGGCTCCATGTCACCCCTCCACAGTCGCAGAAGGCACTGCTCACGCGTGTTGGGAGTGGAGGCCTCTGACACAGTCCTCAGCTAACAGCAACCCAGGCTGGAGAGCCTCTTGCTCTCCTGCGTCTCGGGTGGACCTCCTTCCATTCCTGTAAGAAAGGGAGAAGTCACTTGGCATGAACCAGACACCTGCAGGGACACTAGGCAGGGCCCCTCTGTTGGTGCTCTCTGGTGACTGCTGGTCAGAGTTGTGAACTTGAACCTCTAGGGCTCTCATTCAAGGCCTGGCACCGGGACGCATTCCAGGTGGCGGAACAGAGTGGGCACAGGCAGGTACCAGGAGAGCCAAAGCTGGGACGCAACCTTGGTGGCTGGAATGCCCAGCCCGGCCCATGAGGAGGCTGCCAGGTGGACAAGGGCAGTCGGGAGGGGAGGCTACGCTGCCAGGTGGGGTCAGGGAGGCTGCAGGCCCAAGGTCAGAGTGATGGGAGGAAGCACAGCCCAGAGAGGGGGATGGGAGGGTGGCGGATGTGGGTTTTAGGCCACAGGCCTGCTCCCCAGCCCCGCTCCCCATCCCATCCGGGGGCCTGTACGCACGGATGAGGTCCCCGTTGCCAACTTGGAGCCGGGCGCTGCTCCTCCTCTCCAGGTCCCGCAGCACCGACTGCTCGAACGCCAGGGCCGCCACGCGGCTGAAGAAGGGCTTCACGTTCTCCCCTGGGGGCCATGGGACAGCTGTGGCCCTGTCCGCCTCTGCCCTCACCCGCGGATGCATTTGGGTGGGAGCCGGTGCGTATGAGGGTCAGGGCAGTCCACCTCTGGGGCTGCCTGGGACAGCACAGTGCAAGGGATGGGCTTGCTGGCCTGGCTTCCCGCCTGGCTCCAGCCCATTCCCCACTCTGGCCACCTGCCCTGGCAGCTTCCTCAAATCTCTGAGCCTTGGCTTCCCAGCGCCTACTCTCCCAATCAGCCAGGACTCAGGACCCTCTGTGCACCAATCGTGGGATGTGCCTGCTCTCCTGTAACTTGTGAGCACCTGTGCAGTGGGCAGCTGTGAGGATTGACATGTTGCCAGGCCCCATGTGGGGCCTTTGTGAAGAGGCTGCCCACCTGGGCACAGGGCCAGGTTCCAGCCCCTCACATGCACACCACCCTCACGCAGCCGGCAACCTATACGACTGCACAGGGCCATTCTGCTTGGCCCGTAGGGAGCTCTTCGTGAATGTGCTGTTACTCTGATACGAGGGCAGGTTCTCACAGAGCATGGGGGTGCTGTCAGGAAGGGGCAGAGGGAACCAGGTCTGGGCGCAGCCACGTTTTCATCTGTGCTGGGCTGGAGGTGGAGCCTCTACCTGTGGCATCCACCCTCAGTCTCCCTGCCACCACCTCCCCCTCACCAGGGCAAGCACTACAGCTTAGGCGCACCTTCTGAGTCCCCAGAGCCTCTATGCACCAGGCACCGCATGTGATTTCATTTCATGCCCCCAACGACCTGTGTTTTCAAAGTCTATTCTTTGCTTCTCCGCACTGTCTAATTTTCCTCAGTGAACACATACAGCTTTTGCAATTTCAAATATGTTTTTCCATTAAAAATAAAATGAGATGGATAGCATCACCCACTTCCCAGATGAGGATACTGAGACTCAGATATGATAGGTATGTTTTGGGGACCAGGGTGAGTGGTGGCCCATGGAGGAAGGTGGCTCACGGGCTGCGGGACACACCAGGTGGGATGTGGATGAGGGCTTGGGGTCATGAGCGATGTTTCAGTGTCTTCCACAATGACACCTGGGGAAGGGATGGGAGCCTAAGGTTACCGAGCCCTTCTGTGTGCCAGGCGCTGCCTCCCACCTGGCGTCCACAGGTTGGGCACAGGGCAGGGCAGTGGTTACAGGGGTTCTAAGCCCAGCTCTGCTAATTCTGCCCTGGGACCCTGGAAGGGACAAAACTGACCTGCTCAGAGGTCGGGCATTGCTATTCTTATTGTCCAAGGGGTAGGGATCCCAGTGTCTCCCTAGAGATGAGGATACTCTGCACAGGCAATGGAAGGCCCTACATGGTCACCAGCACAGCTGGCTGTGATGCGGGCACTTGAAAGACCTAAGGAAGGAAATTCGCAAGCTTCCCACAGGTGGCCCGCCATGGTGACGGCCGCACACCTACTCACCCGTCTTGGCTGACACCGACCAGTACTCGGCCTGCATCTCATTGGCCAAGTGCATGGCCTCCACTTCCGCCTGCTCGCATGCTGCCCCTGACTGGGAGAAGAGCCCTTCTTCAGGGAGACGCCGGGGGAGGTAGCTGCCCGCCTCCCACGGTGCCTCCCTCCTCCACATCCCATCCTGGCAGGTAGCCCCCGCTCGGGGTGGGTGGGGGATGCCTGCCCGCAGGTGAGACCCCAGTGGTCCCAGGCAAGATGCGGTCTTCAAATCCCCATCTAGGCATGTCAGTGCCACCCTCCATTCCGGAAACTTGGGCAGAAAGCAGATGCATTTTCTGGGGGCTACCCCGGGACCTCTAGTCCCGCTCTGCTCACCAGAAGGTCCTTCTTTGTTCCCACGAGGAACACAAAGCAGGAGCCTGGCTCGTTCTCCCTCAGTGCATCCTCCAGCCACTGCCTGGAATGCATGGGGTGGAGGGTGGGGCAGGCTGAGAGGCTGCCCCATCCACCCAGAGGGGCCTGGGGAAGACCAGGGGATGGGTGCAGACCTGGTTCCTCCCCAGGCCTGGGAGGTATGGGGAGGGCAGTTTGACCTGAGCTGGCTGAGCAGGTGCTGGTCCGGCAGCCAAAAAGGCCTTGGCTGGACCACAGGGGAATAGAGTCGCAAGAGCACCAGCCAAGGGAGGTGAAGACCCCGTCCTGGCCGTGGCTCTGCCCTTGCTCTGTGTCAACTTGGGTGAGTCCTGCACTGTCATCAGCTGTAACGATCACCCCAACCCATGCCCCAGACAACAGTGAGGTGAAAGAGGCTGTGGTCCATCAGCTCCATGATTCCTGGCAGAAGCAGAATGGCCTCCCGGAATTGGTCATATTGCTAGCTGTCTTGACCAGATCTCTGCCCAAGCCAGCAAATGCCAAATCATGTCCTGTCAGACAGGATTGGCTATGGGATTTGCAGGGCCGGAGGGCAAGATGAAAATGCCAGGCCCCTCGTCCAACAATTATGAAGGCATTCAAGATGGTAACAGGAAAGCGTTAAAGCAAGCATGGGCCCTTGCAAGTGCCAGCCCTGTGTAACTGTGTTGACTGTGCACCCTGAGCCTGCCCTGCTTTCAGCAGATGGGTTTAAATCTTGAGGAGTAATAAGGCAATTGTATAGCAAGCAGCCTGTGGGCAGTTGGTTCTAACAAGTTAGCTGGTCACTTGCACCTGCCATTGGGGAACCAGTTCATGGGCCCAGTTTCAGGAAGCCCTTCTAGGCAGCTTCCTGAACCGCAGGGGCCACAGAGTCCCAGACTTGCCTGGTATGCTCCAGAGTCTGCATGTCAGTAAGGTCAAAGGCCGTGATGATCACTGCACACACGGGGAAAAGGCAAGAGCTGGTCAGCGACAGGTGAGGCGAGCATGGTATGATAAGGGGGCTCCCCCTGATCCCCAGGAACTGCTGGGGTGGTCCCCCAGGCACTTAGCCCTAGATCCCACAATGGAGTCTAGGAAAGAGACACCCCACGGCTGCCCTTCATGACCCACCCTCCCACCGTCCTCTGACCCACACCCAATGTCCCAGCCACAGCGGGGGATTCAGGGGGGCAAGATGAGCCTAGGGCTCCTGAGTCGAATCTCCCCTCTGCCACTCACAGCTAAGGGAACTCAAATGAGGGCCTTAATGGCTGAGAGCCTCAGTTTCCCCATCTGTGTGATGGTGAGAACGATACCTCTAGCTCTCAAGGGTTGCTGTTAGTATTAAGTCTGAGCAGCTATTTTAAAAGCTCTTGGTCCAGGGCCTGATGTGGGGCAGACTTGCCCAATGGTGGTTATGGCTGTGAAGGTGATTAGCAACAACCAGCTTTAGAAAACAATTTCCGGGGAGCAGAGAGAGCAGAAAACAGGGAGATGCAGGCCACCCCCTTAGCTCCTCTTGTCGCCAGCCTATTCTCCCCCCACCTCCTCCTGGACTAGACTCTGCTCTTTCTGGGGTCTCTTGACAGGCACTTCCTCCTCTACGCATCTTTCTGAGCTGAAACTGATGCTGAGACTCACGAGGAGCACCCACCACGGAGTCCCCACAGGGGAGGCCAGCTTAGGCCGCGGCAGGAAGGCAGCTTCCCCGTCTCTGAGGACTGGCCCGGGGGCTTTCTCAGTGCCTGCACAGAGGACCTGGACTTCTTGCTGTTGAGCCCAGTGGAGGGCCCCCCTGCTGCACGTGGTTGAGGGCCCCACATTACCATGACCCGCTGCTCACCCTGGGCACCCCGGTAGTAGGCAGATGCGATGCACTTGAACTTCTCCTGCCCTGCTGTGTCCCAGCTGTGTGGTGGCAGAGAGAGAAAGGGAAACAGAGGTGGCATATTAAGGAATTAGAGTGGTCAGAGCCAGCAGGCTAGTGGAACCATGGGTGGCAGACCCAAGGGCCTGAGCCAGCTGCGTGGGGTTCAGGAAGCGCCTGCAGCCAGTCCCTGCCCCCTCAACTCCTTATGAGCCCTTCTCAGGGTGCCCTGCAGGGAAATTCCCTGGCTGGATGCACCATGCTCAAGGGGATGGGGCATGGCTGTCCCCTGCCTGGATGGAGTTGTAGCTCAGTCTCTCCTGTCCATGCCATGAAAGGAGGGAAGATGCTCCCATTGTGCTTCCTCTGCAGATGAAGCCCGCCTGCATGGGAGGCCCCGTGAACGGAACTGGGGCTCCGGTCCAGGCCGCCAGTGTGGCTCGGCCGTTTGCTCATGTGTGACTGAGCCGTGGCTTCACCTTCTGCACTGCAGTGGAGGATGCTCGGCTCCCCGGGTGAGGGTGGGGTTGTCTAACAGGGATTTGGTTTGTATGTCCTGGGTGATTCAGTTAGCTCTGGCTCTCTGGAGAAGCTGAGCCCTGGCTCCATGGAAACGAATGCAACGATTGATTAATGATGTCTGCTATGGACGCACCACAGGCGAGGGGGACACATGCCGAGATCTACTGGCCCTGGTCAACAGGTGGGGCTGAGTCTGATAATCTAACCTTTTTGAAAATTGACAGATCGAAATTTTACTTTTCTCAGTAAACTGATAAGTAGATAAACCAGGAACAAGTCATCAATGGTCTGAAATTTTTTCAAGTAATCTGTCATGATGCAGAATTTTTTGGCTCTATTCTTTCATTCATTCATTCATATTTTCTTTCATTTCTGAAGATGAGTCTAGGCAGGGAGCTGGAAGGGTAGCCTGGAGGTGAGGCTAGTTGGGTGGCTGGGACAATGGCCTTAATGTAGGACAATCAGAGGTCAAACCAGGACAGTATCCCTATTTTATTCTGGGCCTGCTAATTAGATACAGCCTGTGGCCACAATGGTGACACCAGCCACAGGCCGCCCTCTGCATCTAGGCTGCCCCCTCAGATCTTTGCTCTTCTCAGCTCTCCTGGCTCCAGATCCCCTTGGTCCCACAGACCTGCTTTTCCACAGCCTCTTCTGCTCTGGTTTGACCCTGTGCTCTCTCTCGGGTGAGATTCAGTAGTACCATCTGGCTCCAGGACAGCACTGGGACTATAGATGTCTTCAGAAAAGGGGGCAGTCTCAACGGAGTTAGGGGCTGAGGTCTGGGAGAGGGTGAGCTCTGTCTTGAGCACCACGGATCCCCAGGGCCAGCCCAGGCAGGGCAAGGAGGATTGAAGAATGAAAGCAGAGCAGCAGGTGTGAACCCCAAGGAGAGACAAAGGAGAAGGGTCCAGGACAGAGGCCTGGTAAATGCCAGCAGGCAAGGGGAGGGTGGGCAGGGGTAGCCAAGAAGAGGAGCATGGGGAGGAAGGAGGCCATGCAGGAGAGCCTGGGACGGGGAGGAGGCCACACAGGAGAGGGCAGGCAGGCCTGCAGCATCTTCCAGGTGCCAGAGGAGGGAAGGGCAAGGTCCAGAGCTCTGGTGGGAAAGTGGGCACCTGGGGTAGGGACTCTGGGATGTTTTGAGGGAAACTAGAGAGAAGGGGCCGAAGCCAGTGGCCGCTGAGAGGCAGCGGTGTGGAGTCTGCCAGGGAAGCAGACAGACAGACAGAGGGAGGGAGTGGCAGGAGGCGCAGGGCGAGGGCAGTGGGGCAGGGAAGAGGGAGGTTTGTCAGACCTGAGGAAGGCACGTGGATCATGTTCACTCTCCCAGAGGCTGGCACAAAAGGACTAGTTTTAGCCCCATTTTCCAGATGAGAACAGAGGCTCAGAGGTCTGAAGCGACTTGCCAGAAGCCTTGTTGGCCTGGTGAGTGAGATCACAGATAGCCAGGTGCAGGAGGGTTGGAAACCTGGAGCTCTACTTGTCCAGCAGGTCCTCACTGAGCATTACAGGGTGCAGCTGAGAAGGAGCTCACCAAGGCCTTCCCCAGGGGTCCTGGGGAAGCTCGCCCACAAGCTACACCAGAAATGGCGCCACATGTCGGGGACTTACATCTGGAGGCTGTAGGGAATCCCAACGATTTCAAAGCGCTCGATTTCAAAGTCCACCCCGATGGTGGCCTTGTAGTCATGGTCAAAAACATTCTTGCAAAACCTGCGGGAGCCAAGGAAAGCATCAGCCAAGAGAGGCTGCACGGAAGCTTCACTCACGACAGTGAAAGTGCAGAGGCAAGGAAAAGTCTACCCGTTCGGAACTGCTAAGATGACGGTCCTTGGAGACAGACCAGGGATGCACGGACAAGAAGAAGAGACGCTGCAGCCAACTCTGCAAGTCAGGAACAGTAAAAGAGAAACTGGGGGTCCTTTTGCAGCAAGGGCAGTGAGGTGTGAGCCCGTGGCCCCAGGGGGACAGTGTGACCAATGCCAGGTTCATGGGATGCCACACTCTGCTGACCCCACCACCTCCCCAGTTTCTCGCACCCTCTCTGAGGGTTTTGTTCCCAGCAGCCACATGGTCTCGACTATGGCAATCACCTGGGCCTCCCAGGCAAAGGCCTGACAATCTGGTGCTGGGAGGCGTGGCTGGTGGGCGCACCTGTGGATGAGGCTGGTCTTGCCCACGTAGAGGTCGCCGACGACAACCACCTTGGAGAGGCTGAGCCTGTGAGGGACGTGGACATGGTGCTCTCAGGCATGGTCACAAGAGCATCTTCATACACACGCGGGCGCTCCTTCCCTGTGCTCCCCCACTATGAGCCACCCCTGGATCCTGGACAGGGCACAGGCCACCTGCTGAGACACGCTGGGATATCTGTCCCCATCGCAGGCCCTCAGAGGGGAGGGAAGAGAGCCTGCATTTGTTCTGGGAACTCTGCATCCCTGGGGCTGTACCCCGACTGTGCTGGGCCCAAGTCCCTGATGCGAGAATTAGAATAGGGCCCAATGAGAGGCAGAGGAAGCAGAGGGAAGAGCCCCAGGTAGGGTTTTGTCTAAGCTAGGGCGCAGCCTGGAACCTGGAGCATGCTAAAAGAATAGACAGTGTCAACGTGCGGGGGACACAGCATAGGGGCCAGAGTCTGCACCGCCTACCCACCCCTGGGGCTGACGGGCTCCTGCTCCTTGCAAGTAGGCATTCCCTGCCTGGGACACCACTCTCCCCCATTCCCTCGGAGATGTCTGCAAGAGCCAACGAGGCCATGGGGCATGTCATGTCAAGGGGCATGTCATGCACATCTGGACTGTGGCTTGAGGCAAATCGGCTGAGGTTCTCGGGCTCTCTGGGGACCCTGTTCAGAGACAGCAGCCACACCGAACTCTGTGGGCGTCCTGCACTCCGTGCGGCAGCTTTCCTGGGGCTGTGGCTGATATGTTGCGTTCCTGCAGCTCATGTTAAAGGAGCTCAACAGGTAAACATCTGACCAGGCACTCCCTCTGCCTGCAGACGGCAAGAGAACACCTCTGCGCCACCTGGTGACCTGGTGCAGCTCACCTGCCCATACCTGCGAGGGCAGAGGCTATGACTCCTCTGCTCGGAGGTGGCCTCTAGTCCTGGAACTGTGTGCTTGACTCTGCTTCTCAGATGAAGGGGTAAAGGTACTGCCGAGATATTGTGGGGGCACCCTCTGTGGCTCAGTTTCCCCACCTCCCAGTGCTCTTGTGAAGGGTCAGGGAGATAATCTGTGTGAAGCACCTGGTATGGAACCAGTACTCCTGAATCGGTGGCCATTACTCTCATCCCACGACTGTGGCTGCTTCGGCCATTGACCTGAGCCCTGACTTACTTGGAGCCGCCCTGGGAACCTCAGAGCTGGGCCTCCACTGCGACCTCCCCACACCTGTGAGCTCAGCCAACTCCCTGAGCAGACTGTGAGCTCCTCAGGTTGAGAGGCAAAAGCTGGCCCTTGTACCTGCTTGTCAAAAAAAGGAGTGAGAGTTGCAATACACCTGTGCCAGCAGTGCCAGGCGCTGCCGAGGCGGGAACAGGACAGACACAGCCCTCGCCCGCATCTGAGTTCAGACAGCAAGTTCACAATCCTGTGAGATAAGTGTGTGGGGCACGGGAGCACACAGGAGGGGCATGCTGCACAGCTTGGGCTGGAGGCAAGGGTAGTGGGGGCTCAGAGAAGGCTCCCAGTGGACCTGACATTATACTGAGACCTGAAGAGGAAGAAAAATATTCCAAACTGAGGAAACAGACATATGCTGAGACCCCAGGCTGAAAAATCGTGTGCATGACTTACTGAGAAACGGGAAAGCTGTTCTGTATGGAAAAGTGTGTCCAGTAAAGTCAAACGAAACCCCCATCTTCTCAGGCCCGCACCAGTGTAGGTACCAGTGTAGTCTGTGTCTTCACTCGTGTGTTCACACATCCTTTCATGCACTCATTCCCCCCACATCCTGGGCCCTGTGGGCCAAAGCAGCACTCACCCGACAGTCCCCGTGTTTCTACGCTGGCAGGCGGCATTGACTTGCCCGTGGAAGTGCTCCTTGAGCTGCAGGCAGGCGTTGGGCGTGTACCACTGGAAAGAGAGAGGAACAGAGACAGACTGACAGGTAGACGGCACATCATCCTGTGAAGCTGCGGCTCCAGCACTGAGTAGGGCAAGAGGTGGTGACTTGCTTCTTATCATTTCCTCCCCAAACCCCACAGCTGGTAGCCTCATTAGCTTTCTCTGATCCTTCTGTCACATCTGTCCTCTATCTTGTCAGCAGCCTTCTGATTCCAGGGTCTTGTGAGTCCAGAGGAAGAGCAGCAGGGACTGGGGTGGACCAGAGAGCTTAGGCGGGGACTTGGAGAGCTGCGTCTTGCCGGGGGCAGCTGTGCCCTTGCTGCGGGCATTTGGCAGGTCTCTGTCCGAGGGGTGCAACTGTAAGCACTCTTTTGGCTCCAAGATCCTTCCATACCTTCTACAAATCGCTATGCCATTTTTCGTTTTTTAACTATGCACATGTGTGCATGGAAAGTGGCCCAGAAGGCACTTTTAGTCTTCCACGCTTCTTGGAAGGCAAAACCAGGCAGTGGTTTAAGAGCACAGCCTTGGGGTCAGGAAGACCTGTGTCCCACCCTTCGCTGCTGTGTGACCCAGGGCAGTTGCCTAATGTCTGTGAACTTTAACCTCCCTATCCGTAAAGCCTCAGGGACTTAGGGGCATAAAATAATGTTTGTAAAGCCATCAGCACAGAGTCAGCCTGGCACATACTAAGTGCTCAACAAATATTCACGGCTATTAAGATGCCATGATACATGCTGAATGCACATTAGTTTTAAGATGAGATGACCGCGTGTTCATATGGGCTGAGGTGAAGTACGGAGCATAGCAAGGACGTGGGGAGAAGAGCATCGTTGGAGGCTGCTGGTGTGCTCTGCTATGACATGGCGGTTGTCCCCTCAACCCACTCGCTCTGTTCCTCAGGGCACAGCGTGGACCCAGAACTCCTTCTGAGTTCTCAGGCATTGAGATGGGCTTTGCTCTGGCCCATCCTCCCTCTCAGCTCCAGGTGTGACTGAGGCAGTGGAGAGCTTTGCAAAAGGGCAAGTTATGAAACCTCACCGAGACTGTTTCCTCATCTGTAAAGTGGGGGCACTCCTAACAGTACCTCTTCATCTGGTCGCTGGAGGATGAAATGGGTAAAACAGGGGAACAGCTTAGCCCAGCAACCCATATCCACACAGGAGAGTGTCATGCTGGCTGCTTTTTCCTGTCAACTTGCATGTAAGCCTCCAGCTGGGGGCCGGCCTGGGCACAGTGGTCATTATAGGAATACCACCATTATGGAGAAATTAGAGAAATGTAATAAGGAAGGCTGGGTAGGAAGTGAGCCAATTTGAGAGACAGGGCAACCAAAGCACACAGAGTAGAGGGAAGGACTTGCCTCACCTGACTGCAAATATCTCAGGTCTGAAATGGTGTGGCCCTGGGGTGCAGGATGAACTTGGCCAGCTATGGCTGTGACCCCTGATTGCCACAGGCAGTTAGGAGAGAATTTCACCTTCTGTGGAAACAGGACAGATGGCTCAGACGGCCTCCTTGGGCAGGGGAAAGTTGGAACTTTGAAGTTAGCCACACCCAGCTGTGACCTCAGGCAGCCACCCCTGCCAATCTGTCTTGGTGCCCTGCTCTGTAAAGGGAGTCCTTCATCCCATGAGACCTGGGACAACTGCCTTGAGGGGACAACCGCCATGTCATAGCAGAGCACACCAGCAGCCTCCAACGATGCTCTTCTCCCCACGTCCTTGCTATGCTCCATAGTTCACCTCAGCCCATATGAGCACGCGGTCATCTAATCTTAAAGCTAATGTGCATTCAGCATGTATCATGGCATCTTAATAGTCTTTAATGAGTCTTTTGACTCATTCAAGGCCATTCTCCATCATCCCTGAGTACCGCTGTCAGGCTCTGTAGGGAAGTAACCGCATGGGCCTCTGAGGAGATGGAAAATGTGGGGGGATTGTCAAGGTTTCCTCTGTGGGTGTGTAGAGAAAGAACTGCTGTGGGGAGGCAGAAAACAGGGAGGAGAGATGTCTGCCGACCTCAAATACCCAGAGCCTATGGTCACCTCCTTCTTCCCTACTAGTCTGTGTACAGGATTCAAAAGACGTAAAGGCCACTCCATGGAGAAGGTTTCTCCCTCCACGCTTGTCCTAAGTCACATGGAGGCAACCACTGACAGCGGGATCTGATGTATCCTTCCAGAGATATTGTCTGCATAGACAGACAAACACATACATTTCTTCTCCCCTCTCCTTTTCTTCACATATGGGAGGGAGTGTGCTACGCACACTGCTCCCTTCCTTGTATTTTTACTGAACAATCTATTTTGGCTCTCCCTGCACATCGGTACCTGAAGGGGCGCCTCATTCCTCCTCACATCTGTCTAAGTTGCCCCCTCGCAGAGGACGTTTATGTTGTGTCTGACTTTCTGCTTTACAGATTACTGCAATGCCCGGCGTTGAATGGCTGGATCAGAGAGTGGGGGCATCAGTGGTGTTGGGAAATACTGTCCACTGCCCCCAATGGAGGTTTACTGATTTGCATT